GCACGTCCTAGCGATCCCTACAAATATTACTTACCTAAGATCCATGTAATTACTTACTTGGATGACGCGTGTCTTCTCGAACTAGTTTTTCCGCGTGTATTTTTGTAATCACCTATATTACACAAAAATAGCACCAATATTCAAATAGAGGCGAAAACCATCGAACGAAGGCCGAACAATGCAAAGATGTACTCACACGTGTCAATTGCACAATCGTACAATCGCACTCTTGCGGCAGCGAGACAGCAATTGTGCAGTACTTGTTCCAAACCAGTGAACAAGATAATCATGTGAAATTCGCACATTATGAACAATATTGGCATATGCTCGAGTTTCGAGTCACGTTTGAAAGAATATTTTAGAAAACATGAGCGAGAAAATACGTTGAAAACAATTTTAAAAAAAGCAACGTTCTAAGCTAAAAGCAAGTAGACAACAACAATGACATTGATAGCATATGACCCAAGTAGGAAGAATTGAAAACTAAGTCACATTCTCCTATATTACCATTTCGGGCATTTTAGCCTACGTATAGATATAATTTTGGTGACCAGTCATACACCTTCATACTGACACAACAAGGATAGTAAAGACCTATCTAACATGAAAAATTAAAAAGGGGTTTGGAACAAGCATGCCACCGAAGACAACACGTTCTAGACATCTGACACGCGACCACAAACAACATGCCTTGAACAACACGATTCCTTCACTCATAACTCGGATCAGCACAATTTCTTCACTAAAATTATAAAACACTAATCCATCTTTACAAACATATTTTTCTCATAACTTATTTCCAATCACACCAAGAAATAAACAAGTCCAAAGTCGATCCAAAACTATTATTAAACTTACGATCATACATATTCTTGACATTCTCCGAAACACTGCTTTCCAGTTAGAATTAACTTCAACTTCCTTTATAAAACTTAAGTCCGAGAAAAAACAAAATCAGGAACTCAAAAACCTCACCTTTAGTTCTTCCTCGATTCTTTACGAGATTCTCCCAAACTCATTAAACCCCATCTCGATTCCAACATTTTTCTAATGTTATATAAAAAGAAAGAACCAAGTACGAGGGAGATCAATATAAAACGAAGAGCAGATTCAATTAGGCCATTCATTGAAACGCCATCATCCCATCAACCATGTTAATGTTCAGGATTGAACCCTACGCTCCTTTTTTGGACACAATCCCAGTACTCTCTCACCTTGGTCAAAAAGCCAAAATCAAAAGCTCAGAGTCCATGTTTACATTAATGGTATCAGACCCTACCCATCGCTTCACGGCGGCGCTGCAAATCTTGCCTGAATTCTTCGAATACTTTAACTCCAATCAAACACACCATTCCAGATTTTCCATTGAGAAATTTTACCTAACAATGTTCCATATGGAACTCCGTGGTTATTCTTCCATGCTCTTCATTCTTATACAAGCCATAAACAAAATTTCACTTGCATTTGAGAATCCACAATCTCGTACATACCCTTTCCTTCTAATTTTCATTGCAAAATGAATCTTGATTCAAATTCAAGAATCAAGAATCAAGAATCTTGTTTTTTTTTTTTTTGTTTTTTCAAGTGTTTGATTCTTTTTTTGTGTTAGATCTTGAGCCGAAAGTGTTATTGCGTGAACTGGATGCGTCATCTTCCGAAGTGGAACAAATAGCTCAAGTTGATTATGGAACTTTTGTGTCAATTGATTCACAAGACTTTAAACGTGTTGTTCACGAGTTAAATGCTCCTTCTGGTGACATATTATTTCACTGATCTTCCTTGAAATGTTGTGCTTTTTATTTGAAAAGAACATGTTTCCTTAAACTTTGTTATTGTCATTTGTTATAGTTAATGTTTCTCTAACGGCTTCACAAATCAAGTTCATGGTTCCAAGAAAGGAGATTGTTCTTACTAGACGGGTATGTATTTTGATGTTTACAAGGTTTATTGTAACTGCCCAAGCCCATTTCTAGTAGATATAGTTCTTCTTGGGCTTTCCCTTTCGAGTTTCCTATCAAAGCTAGGGAGAGGTTAACATACCCTTATAAAGGGTGTTTCGTTCTCCACCCCAACTGATGTGGGATTTACAATCCATCCCCTTCACGGCCCAGCATTCTTGTTGGCACTCGTTCATTTCTCCAATCGATGTAGTACACCACTAAATCCACTCTCTTTTGGGCCCAGCATCCTTGCTGGCACACCGCCTCATGTCTACCTCTCTTTGGAACAACTTCCTTGCTGACACATCGCTTAGTGCCTGGCTCTGATACCATTTGTAACGGCCTAAGCCCACGGTTAGTGGATATTGTCCTCTTTGGGCTTTCCCTTAAGGCCTTAAAATGCGTTTGTTAGGGAGAGGTTTCCATACCCTTTGTTTCTCCACCCCAACTGATGTGGAATTTCACAATCCACCCTCCTTCAGGGCCTAACGTTCTCGCTGGCACACCGTCTCATGTCTACCCCCTTTAGGGAACAGCCTCCTTGTTGGCACATCGCTCGATGTCTGGCTCTAATACCATTTGTAACGGCCTAAATCCACCGCTAGCAGATATTGTTCTCTTTGGGCTTTCCTAGAACGCGTCTGCTAGAGAGAGAGGTTTCCACCCCCTTTATTTCTCCACACCAACCGATGTGGAATTTCGTACTTCACCCTCCTTCAGAGCCTAGCATCCTCGCTGGCACACCGTCTCGTGTCTACCCCCTTCAGGAAACAGCCTCCTCGCTGGCACATCGCTCGGTTTCTGGCTATGATACCATTTGTAACAGCACAAGCCCACCACTAGCAGATATTGTCCTCTTCCTGGCTTACTTCAAGGCTTAAAACGCGTCTATTAAGGAGAGATTTCCACGCCTTTATAAGAATGTTTCGTTCTCCACCCCAACCTAGCCAAAGATGGGACTTCATATTTATTGATTCTTGTCTGAATGTTTCAGAATTTGGTTGATGTTGTGCAGGAAAGAGGGTGCATAACGGGAGGTATTCCAGCAGGAGAGACATTTAGATTTTCGATCACCCTCCATCCATTGCTGTTCTTTCATGATTTGAGCCATAAATCAAAACGGGCATGGTTGTTCATGTCAGTTGATTACTGCACTGTCATTATTTTTCCCTTCGGAATTTTTACTCAGTTTTGGGTCTATTTCCCTCGATGACATGGAAAAATCTTCTTTGCAAAGAGATTCAACGTATAATTTGATGAATCTCTATTTTTTTTTATTGAGTTATGTATCAAATATTAAATAATAAATTTACCTAATACATGTACCCATCGTTACAGTGATTCACGAATAATTTAATACATGTATAATCTAATGAATCTAGTTGGCTGGATTTCCCCTTCTTCTCATAGAATTTACCTCAACCCAACCTCCAAAACCATTTTCATCTTTGATAAATGCCTTGGTTTATAATGCACCCTCCAGTGACTCATTCTTCTTCTTCTTGTGCTGCTCGTGTGCCTCTAGCGATCCAACAAAATCATCAAAAGCTAGATCTTCTCTTTTGACTCCCCAATGGCGCACACGACATTCTCGACCTTGTTAGTTAGTGACTGTAAAACTATGTGATTTTGCTTTCGAGAAGTTATTAAGAACAATGACTAGATTAAGTGGAGGGAAACATTACAACCATACTATGAAGAGAGTAGGTTGTGATGGTTGTGGCTCCCACAAGTGCAAACATATAGAAAGTGACACAAGAGTAGCGTTCATCGAGATATGTGAGGGCCGAGAAAGACAAGTAACGTGATATACATAAATTATACTATAAAAAGAGTAAATTGAACTCTCATAACTGCATAAAAATAAAGGGCAACACCCGATGTATATTCAAATTCATGGTGTCTCGTATAACATATATATATATAAATATATTCATTCAAGGTACGATTGATCACACACTAGCTAACGTTTATCACATAAATCTAATATAATCATTCAACTTAATAACACACAATTTTAATACATGTGATATATGTGTCATTCATAAGTTAAAAAAATTCATCCAAACTTACCCTTAGGCCTATCAATAGTAAATCTACTTACCTCGACAAGCTTAATTCGATATTTCTCTAATTACCTAGCCCTTGATTCTTATGTTAGTCACAACTTTCATACGGTCCTTAAGACTTATTTTGTACCTAAATTCCTTGTGTCTACGTTATACACTTTTTGAGGCTAGCATCTAGGTTCTACTAGCTTAATCAAGATGATCTCAGGGTTCTAGTTCTACTAGCTCTATTAAAGCTATTTTCATTTAATTGGCTCACATCATTCAGACTCTTTTTGGAGCTCATCTATCTCATTAGAATTACTCGTAATTTTAGGATAATTAAGTTCTTTAATAGTCCTGACAGTTGTATTTCTGTTAGTGAAAGAGGGATTGATTGAATGATTGATGAGATGATTAAATTTTGAAGAGCAAGAATGCTCTATGTATACACAGAGAATAGAAAGAGATATCTAGAAAATCTACCTAGAAATCAGAAAATCTGTTAACAAACCAGTCAACAAATCAAAACAAAATCTAATCAAATCAAGAGTAAATCAAATAAAAAACAAATCGACTCCTCACCATCAGAAGATTTAAATCAAATACAGCAATCTAAACACGTAATCTTTTAACAATTTCAATCCATATATCATAAATACTCGAGGTAGGTCATCATCATAGTCCCCCTTACGCTAGAAATTTGTCGAGGACTCTCCATAATATGCCCTATAATGTCGTCATCATAAACAATGAAGGGACTCTCTTGCCTTGCAACTACCATATATCCATGTGGCTTGCTATTATTCAAACTAAGTTCAAAACTAATGAACGGTTAATCTTCCCCACACATAGTATTCTTAGGGCAATATAAAGCTCATACATCTCAAGGCTCATCCATACTAACTCAACCATGTTAATGTTTAGGCTTGACCCCTTCTCTCCCCTTTTGGACGCAATTCGAATACTCTCTTACGTTGCTCCGAAAGCCAACATCAAAAACACAGCGTCCATGTTAACACTATCGGTCGCACCCCCTACCCGACACTTCATTGCGGCGCTGCAAATGTTGCCTGAATTCTTCAACTTCTTTCACTCCGATGATACTCACCATTCAAGAATTCCCCTCGACTTATTGTGCATTATTATGGACCGTATGGAACTCCGTGGTTTTTCTTCAATGTACTTTGCTATTTTTCAATCATTAAGCAATGTCCTACTCACATTTCAAGAAGGTTCAAGTTCTTACATATTTTCTATCTTGTTCTAACTTAAAGAATCATGAATCTTGTTTTTCTTTTTTTAGTTTCTAAGTTGGTTCTAACTCAAGAATCAAGAATTAAGAATCTTGTTTCTATAGAATCTGCTGCTTATTTATTTATTAATCAAAGGTGGTAATGTAAAGCTAGAATGATATATAAAGTAAATGATAGTAAATAGTAAATAGGCATGTATAGTAAAAAGCTATATATAGTTATACATAGTAAATCATTGAATAGCAGTTTGAAAATGTACTTTTTGTATTCTGTGTTTCTACTACCGGAAGTCATCCATATAAACCTTTAGTCAATATTCCTCTTTGCATTTTCTCTCCCTCTTGTTCTGTGTGTTCATCTAGATCGAGTATGCGTTGTTGTGCAATCCTAACATCAAGAACATAGTTTAATTTTCTTTTGGTTAGGTCATGAGCCGAAAGAGATGCACGAATTGCATTTTCTCTCTCCTGTTATTTGCATTCATCTAGATCGAGTGTGTGCATTGTTGTGTGATCTTAACATCAAGAACATAGTTTAATTTTCTTTTTGTTAGGTCATGAGCTGAAAGTGATGCACGAATTGCATTTTCTTTCTCCTGTTCTTTGTATTCATCTAGATCCAGTGTCTGTGCTGTTGTGCGATCCTAACATCAAGAACATAGTTTAATTTTCTTTTGGTTAGGTCATGAGCCGAATGTGATGTGCGAATTGCATTTTCTCTCTCATGTTCTTTGTATTCATCTAGATCGAGTGTGTGTATTGTTATGCGATCCTAATATCAAGAACATAGTTTAATTTTCTTTTGGTTAGGTCATGAGCCGAAAGTGATGTGCGAATTGCATTCTCTCTCTCCTGTTCTTTGTATTCATCTAGAATGAGTGTGTGCGTTGTTGTGCGATCTTAACATCAAGAACATAGTTTAATTTTCTTTTGGTTAGGTCATGAGCTGAAAGTGATGCGCGAATTGCATCCTCTCTCTTGTTCTTTGTATTCATCTAGATCGAGTGTGTGCGTTGTTGTTTGATCCTAACATCAAGAACATAGTTTAATTTTCTTTTGGTTAGGTCACGAGCCGAATGTGATGCGCGAATTGGATTTGTTGCCTTTGGAAGTGGAGAACATAGAGCAAATTGATTATGGAACCTTTGTGTCAATTGATTCCCACGACTTTAGACGTGTTCTTTTTGAATTAAATGCTTATTCCGGTGATATATAACTCCATTGTTCTTCCTTTAAATCTTATACTTTTTCTTGAAAAGAACTGTTTCCTTAAACTTTGTTGTCGTTTCCTTATAGTTCATGTTTCTGTAACGGATTCACGAGTCAAGTTCAGTACTACAAGTGAGGAGATTGTTTTTACTAAAGATGTATGTATGATGTCTTTGATGTCTACAATGTTTATTGATTCTTGTCGGCATGTTTTAGAATTTGGTTGATGTTGTGCAGGAAAGACGGTCAATAATTGGAGGTCTTAGGGAAGGAGAGGAAGTTAAATTTTTAATCACTCTCTATCCGTGGGTGTTTTTTCATGATTTGAGCTACGAAGCAAAACGGGCGTGGTTCTTCATGTCAAATGATTTCTCCACTGTTATTATTCATTTCTTCGGCATTTATTCTCAGTATTGGGTCTATTTTCCTTAGTGGCATGGAAAAATCTTGTTTGCAAAGGGACTTCTTATAATCCTAAATCATCAATCCATATGATCCGCTATTTGCTATGAATTAAAATTGTGATGCTCTAGTAAAAGAAAAAGATATTAACGAATCGAGGGTCATTCAAAATGAATCGAGACCGAATGTATTATGATCCATAATCAAAATATACCGAAACAAATGAGGAGAAAGAAACTTAAAAGAAGAATAGTATTATATTGATTTTCAAGTTCAAGTTATAATTACTAATAATTATTTTTAAATTGTTCCAAGTTAATAACTTCTTTTTGTATGAAGCTTATTTGACTCATTTTCTCCTCTATAAACTTGATTTTATTCGAAATTCTCACGTTGATCAACTCTCGCACGTATTTAAACTTAACCTTTGCTAAGGTTTGGGTGAAAATGTTCGCAGGTTGCTTTTATAGTGTCAACTTCTTCTTTAGAAAAATTTAATTCATTATGTGTAGAAAATTATCATTGGGCTTACATGTAGAAATTTCTGATAACCTACTCCTCTATTTTTCAACCTTCTTTTTAGGTATGCCCTCTAGGTTTTTTTTTTGGTTAAAATGACAACTTTGATGAAACACGACTTGTAGGTAACTCTTTGCTAATCGAAATAGCCTCAGGTTTCTTCTTGGCTCTGTTCTTTGATTCCTTTTTCTCTCATCCTTTTGGTTTCTTCTTCTCTTCCTTGCAACCAAAGCCAATGCATACTTTTTGAAGATGATGGTCTTTCATTATATTGTATATAGACGATTTCGCGACCTTTTTATCTTCATCAATAGGGTTCCGTTTTTTGTCAAATATCTTAAGAAACGAGTCGACTAACTCCATTATGCTACCTTCTTCTGTCATTTGATCAAGGCAAATAATATTGATCTTCAGACTCGAGATATAATATATCTTGGTCAATAGACGTTGATCACCATTCTTACACTAGAACAAGATGAATTTTTTTTACCTTTAATCAATACAATTGATCTGTCGCAAAGCTTCACGTTTTTAATGAACTTCTCATCAAACTCCTTGAATTTTGCTCGAACTCAGGTTATGTGGTTGCCCGCTCCATTGTCTAGGTACAACATGTTAGTCTCCATTTGACCTTCTCCATTTGCGAGGAGGTTCGCCATAACCATCTCTTCATTAAGCATCAACAGGTTGAGTATTTTCTCAGCCAACATCAATGCAGGCTCTTCATCATCCGTGAATGTGAGGTTTGTCTTAGCATCGCACTCCTTGTTGTGGCACTCTACCGCATAATGTTGAGATATGATTCAAAGTATTCAAAATGAAGATATGATTTAAAGTAGTTGAGATATGATTCAAATATTCAAACTACCAAGATTTTAGGAGATTACTAGTAGATTTGAATTTATCTAGATTTCCATAATTTACTATTTATGTCCAGTGTATTAGCCTATACATACTCGAATGGTCGAATGGTGTAATCCTTTAAGCATTGAGTCAGAAGACAATAAGAAAGCATTGCCAGCTTTGATCTATTTTATCTTTTATATCTCCCACTATCCATTTTCCCAACAAATTTGGTATCATAGCTAAGTTCCTTCAACAGGAGGGTGAGTGATTATTTTCTTTCACAAAACAAAAAATGGCAATAGCTGGTTTTTCTTTCTTTACACCGTTGTTACCAATCTTTAATGGTGAGAAATATGAGTGGTGGAGCATCAAGATGAAGACCTTGCTCAGATCGCAGGAGCCACGGGACTTGGTGGAGCATGGGTTTGTTAATACATTAGAACCCACAATAGAAGAAAATAAGAGACTAAGAGAAACCAAGAAAAACGATGCCAAGCCTCTATTCACTATTCAGCAAGCAGTTCATGAGACTATCTTTTCACGAATTGCAGCAGCAACCACATCAAAGCAGACATGGTCAATTCTACAGAATGAGTTTCTAGGAGATTCAAAGGTCATAACAGTAAAATTGCAATCCCTAAGACGTGATTTTGAAACTCTACTCATGACGAATGGCGAATCAATTGCTGAATTTTTGTCAAGAGTAATGACAATAGTAAAATAGATGCGTACCTATGGAGAGAAAATTTCAGACGAAACAATTGTTGCAAAGGTGTTAAGAAGTTTGACTCCAAAGTTTGATCATGTGGTGACTGCCATACAAGAAGCTAAGGATCTATCCATACTCTCCGTTGATGAAATGATGGGCTCGCTTCAGGCTCATGACGCAAGAATCAATAGAGCATCAGACAGGAACGAAGAAAAGGCACTACAAGTGAAGGAGACAACCAACAACGAAAACAACGAAAGAGAAAATATTCATTTAGCAGGTAGAAGTTGTTGACTCTGACAATTGACTCTGGCAATTCGGAGGAAAACGTCGACGAAAAACTGGCCGAAGAAGGTTTATTCGAAAGAAAAAATAGCGGAAGTAAAAGGAGAGAGGGAGAGATTTGCTGAAGACTCGATGTTTTTATTTCTCGAATCCTTTAAATAACAAACCTAATTACAAAAATAGAAAAACTAATTACAAAAATAGAAAAGTGGGCGAAGACTTCGCCCAAAGTTGGCCAAAAATGGCAGCTAGAATTACGCTCTTCCATTGGTGTAAATTCAGAAGTTTTGAGACGTCAAAACAACCTAGAACATAGCTTTTATTTAACAGAAGTCATGGAAGAGGAGGATTTCGCAGCTTCCATGGTGGTCGTGATAACAGGGGTAGATGGAGAAGTGATGAACAGAGACAATTTAATGAACAAACGAATGTCATACAATGTTAAGAAGGTATGGGCACACAAAATCTGATTGTTGGTATAAAAATCAACGAATGAATTTTGCAGCAGAGAATGAAGAAGAAGAAGAAAAGCTGTTTATGGCGTGCATGGATACTAATCCGGAAAAAGGTGACTTATGGTTTGTTGATAGCGGATGCTCGAACCATATGACAGGCACCAAATCTTTATTCCAAGAGCTTGATGAGACGCAAAGAATCAAGGTGCAACTTGGAAATAAGATGCAAGTTGAGGAAAAAGACATAGTGAAAGTCGAAACCAGTTATGGTAAGATAAAACTCTTTGATAGTGATACAAAAGAGATTACAGTTGAAGTTTCTATAGATGAAGAGACAAGGGTCAACTCCAGTGCATCTCTCAGTGCATCCACTGTAACACAAAATGTGTCAAATTCATCATCTTCAATATCACTGAATAGCAACTCTTCTCTTGAAGAATTTTTGGATGAGATACCTCCAAGGAAGTATAAATCTTTAGCTGACATATATGCATCATGTCAATTTGCTCTTACTGTTTCAAACTCTATGAATTATGAAGAAACAACTGAAAAAGAAGAGTGGAAGAAATCCATGGCAGTAGAGATGTAGTCCATCGAGAAAAAATGGAACATGGGATATGGTTGATCTGCCAAACGAAAAGTTCTATGGAGATTTACATGGGACATGCAGCCCATTGCGGTGGCCTGTTTATCAGTTTGATGGAGATTTACAAGAAGAGGTTTATGTAACCCCGCCAGAGGGATTCATAAAGGAAGACAAAGAAACAACGGTATACAAGCTGAGACAGACATTGAACAAGTTAAAGCAGACATAACAAGCTGAGACAGACATTGAACAGGTTAAAGCAGACATACTCACGAGGGCCTTGTCAAAAGAAAAGCTTTGTACTGACATCTACAACTTTGACATCTGCCACTTTGAATAAGGGGGAGTGTTGAGATATGATTAAAAGTATTCAAAATGAAGATATGATTTAAAGTAGTTGAGATATGATTCAAATATTCAAACTACCAAGATTTTAGGAGATTTTAGAGATGGGCAGTAGATTTGAATTTATCTAGATTTCCATAATTTACTATTTCTAGTCCAGCTTATTAGCCTATGCCTATTGGAATTGTGTAACCCTTTAAGCATTGAATCAGAAAACAATAATAAGCACGGCACCTTTGATTCATTTTATCTTTTTATATCTCTTTCACTATCCATTCTCTCAACACATAATACCCGAATTTTCCACAAGCATATCACTTGAACATGCTCTTATCCTTCGAGAGGTTGCATTGTCATGGGTATTTTTAGGTATTGCCATGACTTCCTCCACCCCCATGTCCTCAGCCACGACCACGACCTCTACTTTCCTTATTGTGGCTGTCATGTCCCTTCGTACCTAAAAAAGAAAAACCAGCCGCATCTTTCTCTTTCGTCCGAACTCATTCTTCAAAGTCTGCACTTTGCTTCCTTGACTCATTCCACACTCACATGTATTGTTTGCAGCGTCTCCCACGCTACCTTGGCTGAGTTTTTCTCTGCCAACATGTGAAAGATGTCCTCCAAGACTACTTGGTAGATGACAGCAAAAGTCATCCTATCCTTAAGCTTCTCAATATCGTCACCATGCTCAATGACATCCCATATACCTTGTACTTCTAAGTTTACATGCATCTTTATCAACCATACTACATAGTTACTCTTTGTGAGTAACGAGTACTGGAGCGTTACACTCCCCTCCCCCACTCCTTATCATTGTCACATCTCCTCCCGTGACTTTTTGTGTTGACGACATTTGTTTCAACATCCTACCTCTCATACCAAATGTTGGTTTTGACCCACAATCAAAATTTACCAAACCAATAAAAAAAAGAACAACTTGAGAAGAGAGTTTCTTGGAACAGAAAAATCTTAAGTGGTATGTTTTTCAATTCTATTTGTTGTTGTGAATAAAAAATATACATCTGAACACTAATTATAGGAGAGAAAAAACAACAATTATCTTAAAACTTACTCAAAAGTTAATAACTCTTATTGACTCAATCCGTGCATATAAAAAGAAACAACAAGTGTGAGGGAGATTAATATAAAACGATCACCAAATTCAATTAGGCCATTCATTGAAACGCCATTATGCCATAAACCATGATAATGTTCAAGCTTGACCCCTTCTCTCCTCTTTTGGATACAATCCCAGTACTCTCTCACCTTGGTCAAAAAGCCAACATCAAAACCTCACCGTCCATGTTAAAACTAACCATCTTACCCCTTTCCCGACACTTCATTGCGGCGCTGCAAATGTTGCCTGAATTCTTCAACTTCTATACCACAAATGAGACTCAACATTCAAGAATTCCCCTTGACATATTTTACATTACTATGCTCCATATGAAAGCCCATGGTTTTTCTTCAATGTACTTCACACTTCGTCAATCAGTAAACAAACTCCGACTTTCATTTCACGGCTCAAGTTCGTACATATTTTCTTCTCTTCAACAAGAATCAAGAATCTTGTGCTTCTTTTGGTTTCAAGAACATAGTTTCATTTTCTTTTGGTTAGGTTATGAGCCGAGTTTGTCACGCGAATTGGATTTGCTTCCTTTTGAAGTGGACAAAATGGAGAAAATAGAGAAAATTGATTATGGAAAATTTGTGTCAATTGATTCACATGACTTTAGACGTGTTGTTCTTGCATTACATGCTTCCGCCGGTAATATATAACTCCATTGTTCTTCCTTGATATGTTATACATTCTACGTTGGTTGGTTAGGGAGGAGAACGAAACATCCTTATATGGGTGTGAACTTTTTCCTAACAAACGCGATTTAAAAACTTTGAGGGGAAGCCCGAAAGGGAAATTTCAAAGAGGACAATATCTGTTGGCGGTGGATCTAGGCTGTTACAAATGGTATTAGAGTGAGACACCGGACGATGTGTCAGCAAAGAGGCTGTTCCCCAAAAGGGTAGACACAAGGTTGTGTGCCAGTAAGGACGCTAGGCCCTGAAGGGGAGTGGATTTGTTGGGGTCCCACATCGATTGAAAAAAAGGAACGAGTACCCACGAGGACGCTAGGAGCCCTGAACGAGGGTGGATTGTGAGAATCTCATATTGGTTTGGGAGGAGAACGAAACATCCTTATAATAAGGGTGTGGAAACCTTTCCCTAACAAACGGGTTCTAAAAACTCTAAGGGGAAGCCCGAAAGGGAAAACCCAAAGAGAACAATATCTACTAACGGTGAGCGTGGACCGTTATAAATGGTATCAGAGCTAGACACCAGACAATGTGTCAGCGAAGAGGTTGTTCCTTGAAGGGAGTAGACACGAGGCTGTATGCCAGAAAAGATACTGGGTCTCGAAAGGAGTGGATTTGGTGGGGTTCCACATCAATTGGAAAAAAAGGAACGAGTACCCGCAAGAATCCCGCGCATTAATTGAGAAAGGGAACGAAATACCCTTTATAAAGTTGTGGAAACCTTTCTTTACTTTTTAAAAAAAAAAAACATGTTTCCTTAAACTTTGTTGTCGTCTTTTACAGTTCTTGTTTCCCTAACGGATTCACGAGTGACGTTCAGTAGTTTATGTAAGGATATTGTTTTTACCAAAGAGGTATGTATGATGTGTTTTGATGTTTACGAGGTTTATTGATTCTTGTCGGCATATTTTAGAATTTGGGTGATGTTTTGCAGGAAAGAAAGTGCATAATTGGTGGTCTAATGGAAGGAGAGGAATTTAAATTTTCTATAACTCTTCGTCCCTTGGATTTTTTTCTTGATTTGAGCAAGCAAGCAAAACGGGCGTGGTTGTTCATGTCAATTAATTTCTCCACTATCATTATTCTTCCCTTTGGAACTCGTTCTCAGTTTTGGGTCTATTTTCCTTAGTGGAATGGAAAAATCTTGTTATCATAGTTGAACCAATGTATTATTATCGAACATCTTATAATCATAAATCATCGATCTATTTGATCGGCTATGAATTAAAATTGTGATTCAAGTAAAAGAGATATATATGAATTAATGAATCGAGATTAATAAGAATATAATGGTTAAGCAACGCTTAAAGAGAATTGGTAGTTATTATCTATACCAATAATGCACACCTTTCTTTTCGGTGTCTCAAATACAGAAGCTTCAAAATTAAGTTTACTTAGATTGGAGTGGTTCTATGTTAGGCGACCTTCTGAAATTTTCTTGAAAAAATATATGAGTAAGAATAAAAGTATGTTGAAAGGAACTCGGGTTGGATTATAAGTTTATTTCCACTCTTAGAAACAATTCAATCAAATAAGTAATATGGTTATGCCGTGAAAATGTAGGAGAATGTCAAGGTTATCGAGTGTTATATCTGAATTTCAAATCCTAATGTTAAAGCTATCATGTTAAAAGGATTTGTGTTAATATATGGGATAGTATTGTAGCTTGGGAATGTAAATGTTATCAAGAGCCAAATTTAAATTTCAAATAAATGTTTGTGTAGCAATATAAATACACTAAGAACGTGTTCAATGCATACTCACAAAAGTGTGTGAAAAGTACTTATACTATAGGCATTTAAGTTCTTTTTAGCTATTTCTATAATTTCTCAAATCGAGGGTTTGAGATATTTAAATTGATTTTGTGGGACCCGCATATCGATAGGAGAACAAAACATTTTTTATAAAGATGTGGAAACCTCTCCCTAGTAAATACGTTTTAAAATCATGAGGCTAACGGTGATACATAACGGGTCAAAGTGGACAATGTTTGCTAGCGGTGGACTTAAACTGTTACAAATGATATCAGAGTTAGACATCGGGTGGTGTGCCAACGAGGATGCTAGATCCCCAAGGGGATGGATTGTGAGACCACACATCAATTGGAGAGGGGAACGAAGCATTCTTTAGAAGGGTGTGGAAGCCTCTCTCTAGTAGCCTTGAGGGGAACCCCGAAAGGAAAAGATCAGAAGCCAATATCTGTTAGTGGTGCGCTTGGGTTGTTACATAGTTCTATAGAAAATTAGAGGGATTATTTGTGAGAAACAACATAGTTACACAGTAGTACAATATTGTCTCTCGAAGAACGTACACTCTTTGTTCAATGCCTAAGTTACTATGACTATACTTTCGAGACTCATAACTTCTTTGTTTGATACTTGAGCATTGTATTGGTATGACTAAGTTAGGATAAAAACATGACTCCGATACCATATTAGAATAACAAACTTCCACATTAATATGATATTACCCACTTCGAGCATAAGCTCTCATGACCTTACTTTTAATTTCTTCAAAAGGCTCATATCAATGGGAGATAGTGTCTCTCATTTATATACCAACGTTCTCCTTATGTAGTTAACATGAAATTTCAAGAATCCTCAACATTATTAAACGTTTTAGGAGGAAAAAACTATCGAAAATGCTTGGAGTTCATTCTTCAAAATTCAAACAAAATTCTCAAAAAATTGTTTATTTTTTTAATACGACTAAGAATTCAAATATTCAAACGACTTCTAAGCTTGGTTTGAAGTAGATCTCCATTCGAACATTCAAGTCAATAGGGGCACAGATTACACTAACACCGGTAGTTGTAAGATGCAACCAAACCCTATCCACAATCAATGTCAAATCATTAAAAAATGTCGTGGGACTGAGTGTGATTGAGAATCCAAGCTCTTCCCCTTCTTCAATGCCAGCAATTATGCATTGTTTATCCTACACAACAACATGCATCATCCAACAAGAAAAGGTATGGCTTCTTGAATATCAAAGGACAATACCTCTTTGTTAAGAATCATAATACTTTCCGGACTTTGGAACATCACTTGTAAAGGCCTCATAGTAACATCAACTGTTCACATGGATCGAATTTTGTAAGAACTTTTTATTAAGAATCACAATCTCCATAATAGTATGATATTGTCTACTTATGGATTTGCTTTGAGATTCTCCAAAAGGCCTCGTATCAATGGAGATATATTCCTTACCTATAAACTCATGATTAATCTCAAAATTAGCCCAATGTGGACTCTCTCCCAACAATCCTCCCCTGAAACAAAGTGCACTATAGGGCCTCCCCTAAAGCTTATGAGTCCCTCGAACAGCCTCCCCTTAATCGAGGTTCGACTCCTTCTTTGCAGTCCACAATTGACATAACTAAGTTAAGGGCATGACTCTAATACCATGTTAGGAATCACGAATCTCCACAATGGTATGATATTGTCCACTTTGAACATAAGCTCTCATGGCTTTGCTTTGGGTTTCTCAAAAGCCCTAGTACCAATGAAAATGTATTTCTTACTTATAAACCCAGGATTATTCCCAAAATTAGTCCAATGTGGGACTCCCTCCCAACAATCCTCTCCTCGAACAAAGTACACTATAGAGCCTCTCCTAAGGCTTATGGAGCCCTCAAACAACCTCCCCTTAATCGAGGCTCGACTCCTTCTTTGCAGTCCACAATTGACATAACTAAGTTAAGGGCATGACTCTGATATCATGTTAAGAACCACCAATCTCCTAAATGGTATGATATTGTCCACTTTGAGTATAAGCTCTCATGGCTTTGCTTTGGACTTCCCCAAAACGCTTCATATCAATGGAGATGTATTTCTTACCTATAAACCCATGATCATTCCCTAATTTAGTCCAACGTGGGACTCCCTCCCAACCATCCTCGACACTTTCCACTTTTTTTTTTTTTTTTCTCTTTCAAGTTAAGTATTATTACCTTTCTCACTATTTGTAAACATGTTTACAATGTATCTGAACTGTTGTGAATTAATTGAGACAAAGGTTGCAAAGTCAATGGTTCCTACATCCACTTGATTCTCTGGACTTGATAGCATTATTAGACAAGATAACGTCGGCGCGTTCTGGTTAGAAGTACCTATTACACAATTTAATGAGTAGAAGTTTCAAGAAACAACATTCAAAATTGGTATTATGGGTCAAGAAATAGCAAGAAATGGGTATATACTTACAACAATTGTAAAATTCAAGGATTGCGCTAGGTGGGTATTGTTCATAAATAGCGAAGCACATTAAAGAATATTCTATGCCATGACTGAGATGATCGCAGAATTGCTTCAATGGAACTCCCCAATTGAAACGCTGTGAACTAAGTGAAGGTAAGTAAAAGAAGAAGAATTCAGGGTTAATGCGTAGTGCTACGTATATATGATGGGACGTGTTGGAAATTGTTATGGAGAATGATTTCTTGGTGCAATCAAAGTTGGCTGTTTCACCAATGTGAGTGAGTAGAGAACTTGATCCCAAAAAATGATGGATGAGTTGTAGGCTGAAGAGCAACATGGTTAATTCTTTCTTGAGTTTTGAAGAACATTGTTATGAGTTGTGGGTTGTTTTATACTTGTGTGTGGGGCTAGTTTAGGGCAACAAGATTGCTTTTACTTCAATTAAGTACTCGTAGGCTATGCTTTTTTTTATCTTATAATAGTTTGATTCATCGTACTAGTAATCATTGTCGTTGTTATTAGAGTGTGAGATCTCACATCGGTTGGAAAGGGAAACGAAACATTCTTTATAAGGGTGTGGAAATTTTTTCCTAGCAGAGGCGTTTTTAGAACCGTGCAGTTGATGACAATATGTAATGGGTCAAAGCTGTCATAGCTTAATTTGAGACTCGAAATCAAGGGTGGAACTAACTGACTATGCAATGAAAACGTGTAAAAAAAAAAAACAGACAAGAAGAAGTTACAGAAAACTTTTTGCAATTAGGGAAGAGAATTACAATCAAAACAAAATATCCAAGTAGTATATGTATTTCATGAAAAAGTATGATTACGGGGTGCAAAATGTTTGACATATCTATGTATGAAACACATACAGACTCCTAGATGCTCTAGGATACTCATCTGTGGCTTTAAGACTCCTACATGCGCCCCAGCCTTGATCCATAGCATCACTCACTTGAAAAAGAAGAGTAGAAATGGATGAGTATAAATATACTCAAGCAACCTACTTGTAGGCTCTTTTCCATCCTTATCTTAGTAGGTATCCACGGCCTTGTCTCGGAGTTCTAGGGAGTGCGAACTAAGGTGCACTCTCTTTTCTACAACTTAAGAGGTTTGCCCATCTTATGCAGTGGATCAACGTGTCCTGGAATGAGGCGCGACCTCACAAATAAAACAAAGGAGACAGTATGACTGGATCTGAATCAATATCGCTCTCAGAACATCATGCTGACAACCCTCCCACGAGACCATACTTCCATTAAAATTGGGGGGTTGCGATCCTTTGTCTGTTGGTCAGCTACTAAGTCATCCTATGTGGTTCCACTCTCCCCACTTAGGGACGGGTTTCTATGGCTCAGAATTCCTGTTCAGGAGACCCCTTAGTTATAACCACTAGGTCGTGACACAAATCATAATACCCTGTCCAACTCTACCTAGCTCAATGATATCAGTATTGGAGTTTAGACTTGACGGTACGATATCCGAGCAGAGAGAGAAGTGGAGGTTCTGGTGACAATATCCACACTTCTCAAGTTCGGTGAGCTACCTCGGTTGTCTAAAGTTACCGTGGTGTCCTACTCCGATTACCGAAAATCGCGTTTTCTTAAAACTCCAATTCGAACGCAAATCTTGGCCACTTTTCACTCCAAAACTTGAGGAGATCACACTGGTGAGGGTAAGAGTCCAAGAATCAACACAAAAATGTCGTTAACACACGAAAATCTCGATAAACATCTCGATCTAGACATTCGCAAACTAACCTTAAGTTCTTGGACGTTTTTTTACAGAATAGGAAGGTGCGATTCATGAGAGCACCTTGTCTTGAACTAATGAAGGTTTAAGTTGAGGATTCTCGGATCTCCAACTTCGATTTTTGGTCCCATCTTCTCCTCTAGCCTCTTTTCTTTCTTCTTTCTCCTCTCTTCTTTCTTTCTCTCTAGGATTATGAGTTAACCAATCAGACCCCTCAATAAGAATACAGGTAAAATGACTATTTTGCCCCTATGTTGACATAGCGACAATTTATCTATAAAAAAAAGGTTTAGCAAATTTTTTAAGTTTTTAAGAAAGCTGAAGTGTATTAAAGAAATTTTGAAATTCAATAGCATTTTTCAATCAAGGATATTTTTAAGAGGGTTGATATAAAATATTAAATTTACCATAATCTATCAACTTAATTTTTCAAATTTATTGACGATCTAATATTCGACTAGAGTCTTTGAAAATTCAAAATCACAAACTCAAGAAAAAACCATCTTAAAGAAGTACGTCGAGAATCTAATGTGAGAAATACGAAAAAAAATGTTACTCCCATTATCATTTGGTTTCGATCAGAATCTCAAGATTATGTATAGATTTAATGCCTAAGACATCGACTATTTCGACCTAACTAGAGTTTTTTCATTTTAATTCCCACTTTTTACAAATATTTTCAAAACTCAAACAAAATTCTCAAAAATTATTTATTTTCTACTCCGTATAAGAATTCAAATGACTTCTAAACCGAACTCGATATGAAGTAGGTCTCGATTCGAAAATTCAAGTCAATCGGGGCAGAGATTACACTAACACGTTTAGTTGTGAGAAACAACCAAACCCTATCCACAATCGTTATCAAATCATTAAAAAATGTGGTGGGATTGAGGCTGATTGGGAATCCAAGCTCTTTCCCAGCTCCAATGCCACCAATTATGCATTGTTTATCCTACACAACAACATGCATCATCCAATAAGAAAACAAATGGCTTCTTGAATATCGAAGGACAATACCTCTGTGTAAAGAAACATAGTTCTTCCTGGACTTCTGAATATCACTTTTGAAGGCATGATAGCAACATCAACTGTACACACAGAACAAGAAATTTGTAACAACTTTCGACCCTTTTTGTGAGATCTCATATCGGTTAGATGTGAGAACGAAACATTTTTTATAAGGGTGTGAAAAACTATCCCTAGTAGACAGCGTTTTAAAAACCTTGAAAGGAAGCTCAAAAAGAAAAGCCCAAAAAGGAAAGCCCGAAGAGAACAATATCTACTAGCAGTGGGCTTTGACCGTCACAAATGGTATCAGAGCCAGCTAGTCAAGAGGCTGAACCCCAAAGGGGTGTGGACACGAGGTTGTGTTTCAGCAAGGACACTGGCTCCAAAGGAGGTGGATTGGGGGTCGAACATCGATTGGAGAAGGGAACGAGTGTCAGCAAGGACGCTGGGTCTCGAAGAGGGGTGGACTTTGAGATCTCATATCGGTTGGGGAGGAGAATGAAGCATTATTAATAAGGGTGTAAAAACCTATACCTAGTAAACGTGTTTTAAAAGCGAGAACCACAGAAGAGAAAGCCCAAAGATAATAATATCTGATGTACCTCGTTGGAGTTGTTACTTTCTTTTTTTTTTTGTTTCTCTTTCTAAGTTAGGTATTGTTATTATTACCTTTCTCAATGTTTCTAAACAGGTTTAAAACGTATCTGAACCGTTGTGAATCAATTGAGACAAAGGCTGCACAGTCAATGGTTCCTACATCCAATTGATTCTCTGGACTTGATAGCATCATTAGACGAGTTAACTCCGGCGGTTGCTGGTTAGGAGGATCTATAACACAATTTAATGAGTAGAAGTTACAAGAAATGAATCAAAATTGATATTATGGGTCAAGAAATAGCAAGAAATGGGTATATACTTACAAGAATTGTAAAATTGAAAGATTGCGCAAGGTGAGTTTTGTTCAAAAATAGCGAAGCACATTGAAGAATAGTCTATGCCATATCTGAGATGATCGCAGAATTGCTTCAATGGAAACCCCCAATTGAAACGCTTTGAAAGATGTAAAGGAAAGTAATAGTAGAAGAATGCTGGTTTCATGCGTAGTGCTACGTACATATGATAGGATGTGTTGGAAATTGATATGGAGAATGATCTCTTGGTGCAATCGATGTTGGCTGTTTCACCAATGTGAGTGAGTAGAGAAGTTGATCTCAACAAACGAAGAATGAGTTCAAGTCTGAAGATTAACATGGTTAATTATTTCTTGAGTTTTGAAGAACATTGTTATGATTTGTGGGTTGTCTTATACTTGTGTGTGGAACTCGTTTAAGGCAATAAGATTGCTTTTACTTCAATTGAGTACTTGTAGGCTATGCTTTTTTTTTATTTTTTTTTTTGTTGTACTTGTCGTTGTTATTAGAGTCTGAGATCCCCACATCGGTTGGAGAGGGAAACTAAACATTTTTATAAGGGTGTGGAAACCTCTCCCTAGCATATGCGTTTTAAAACCGTGCAGCTGATAGTGATACGTAATGGGTAAAAGGTGTCATAGCCCAAAATTTGAGACTCGAAATCAAGAGTGGGACTAACAGACTATGTAATGAAAACGTATAAAAAAAGATAGACAAGAAGAAATTACGAAAAAATTGTTTTGCAATTAAAAAGGAGAATTACAATCAAAACAAAATATCCAAGTAGTAGATGTATTTCATGAAAAAGTAGGATTATGGGCTGCAAAGTGTATGACATATCTATGCATGAAACACATACAGACTCGTAGACGCCCAAGGGCACTCATATGTGGCTTTAAGACTCTTGTATGTGCCCCAGCCTCGATCCATAGCATCACTCACTTGAAAAAAAGAGTAGAAAGGGATGAGTATAAAAATATTCGGTAAGCAATCTACTTGTAGGCTTTTTCAGATCCTTATCTTAGTAGGTATCCGTGGCCTTGTCACGGGGTTCTAGGGCGTGCGAACTAAGCTACACTCACTTTTCTACAACTTAAGAGGCTTGGCCATCTTATGCGATGAATCAATAGTGTCCTAGAATGAAGTGCAATCTCACAAGTTGTAACGTCCAAAAAAAAAAAAAAAAAAAAA